CTTTGCTATGTGGGTAATGGCAAGCAGAAACAGGGCTTGCCATACGCGCTTCTCGAGCGCGTCGGTCCATTGCTGAGCTGGAAGCCGAGGTATGCCAGCTTTACGAACTTGTCATCTCCTTTCTGCTGGAAGATTGGGAGCTTCTTACAATCCTCGCAGTAATCCCCTACCACCACTGCGTACCCTTGAGGCCTTGCAGTAGGGTAGATTTGCCGAGACAGGCTGTACCGTCGACCATCGTGGTCACTTCGAATTGATTCGGCGACCGCGAGAGTAAGTCATTAACATTGTTCTCTCCGACTCCAAATTTTTTTTTTGTGTGTGCGCCTTGTGTGCGCTTTACGTGTGCTCCCTCCGTTTGGTCCCAGCCTCGGGTTATTCCTCTCGGCGACGTCGTTTTCTTCGGGTCGACCCTTGTATAGGTGTTAGTTCCTCTGTGGTCGGTACTTCTAGGGTTGGTGGTTCCTCGCTGTTGTTCCTTCCCATTGTAGTTTGCTCTCCCGGTTCTTCTTCGTTGTCGGAACTTAATTCGTAATACTCGGGCTGTTGTCCCAACTTTCGTTGTAAGTCGTCTCTGTTGATTTGTATTCCTCCTCTTCGGTACTCTTCCACCCACTTGCCCAGCTGGTGTTCGTCGAGGGGTGCTGTCACCCTTCTTAATACTCCTGCGTGCCGGTGTTCCCTGTGTCCCGTAACTATGTCTTCTACGTGTGCCCCATGTCCTGCCTTACTAACTTTAACTACCCGGTGGGGGAATCCCCACCCTCGTTCGTGTACTGTCGGGTCTCTTACGAGTACGATGTCTCCCTTTTCTAGGTGTCCTCCTCTCCGTCGCTCATTTCGTCGATCGGCCCGCTGTTGGGCTTCTGCCTGCATCCGCTCGATCGTCTCCTCTCTGGTCTTCGCCAACCATTCTATTCGTTGTAAGTTTGGGTTCCTCAGGGTGCCTACGAGCTCCCGTTCCTCCGGTATGGTAGGTTCTACTCCGAATAGCCACCTTCCCGGCGTCATACCCAGCGTTGTATGGTGTGCTGTGCGGTACAAGAACATGGCAAGTGCTAGCGACTCTTCTTCGCCTCTCATGCTTTCTCCCCGTATGCGTTCGTAGTGCTTTCGAAGCTGTCGGTGGAATGACTCTACCGGTCCGTTCCCTTCGGGGTGGTAGGGGGTGGTCGTGACCAGATTGGTTCCCAATAGGTCCAACAACTCCTTCATGATGACGCTGGTAAAGGCTTTGTCGTTGTCACATATTAGTTGTTTGGGTACTCCATATCGTGTAACCCATTGCCGAATAAATGTCGCTGCTGCCCAATGGGCAGACTTGTCGGGGACCACCGCTGCTTCCACCCATCGTGACGTCCGGTCGATCATTGTCATTATTGGCCTGCCTTCTCCTCTCGTTTGCCAGAAGTCGATATGTACCGCCTCGAAGATCTCCCCTAGTGGGAAAGCCCTACTCAGTCCCTGCGTGCGTTCCATCCCATTCCTTCGGCGTTGGCAAGTTAGGCAGGCTCCGATGTACCGCCGTATGTCTTTTATCTGCCTGGGCAGAATAGTTCTTGGGTTCTCCGGTGTGTCCTCACTGCTCCGGCGTGGGTCCCGACCCGTCGGTCATGAAAGTGTCGTATTACTCGCTTCACGTATTGTGGTGGTACGTATGCCCGGCCTCCTCTAGTCAGCATCCCTTGCCATTCTCGGACCTTCAGTCGGTCCCTCTCTACGGTAGATATCTCTTGGT